GCTCTACCACTTGAGCCACAGCGCCCCTTATGGCTTTTTTCTTTTTTGCTTATGTGATGCTGCGGAATCGAACCCAGGGCCTCTGGCATGCAAGGCAAGCGCTCTACCACTGAGCCACCTTCCCAGCCCCAAGGCTTGCTCTTTTGATTTGTTTTGTTTTCAGTGGTGCCTTTTCCTACTTTTTAGTTTAAGTTTTTTGGTTTTGAGGTTTGGCGCAAAAACAAGTGTCCAGGTGACCGACACTTCTCTTCAAGAAGCCAAATAATTCAGGACGAAAATGTTAGCATGCTTGGCATCGTCAGGAAAGAGGAGATGCATTATCACGTTCTGTGATACACATGCATTGGGAGAATATGACAAGCTGTTGGAAGCTATGTGTGTTCTTCATGTTTATTTCCACATTAACTGCTCAAAGTATTTTGAGTTTCCACCTTTAGGACTAGGAGGACAGTATACACTGTACACTGTCTTGAGCTTTAGGTATGAAATTTTATGACAGGGTTGGGAAGGTGGCTCAAGTGGTAGAGCGCTAGCCTTGAGCTGGAGCTGAGGGACAGCGCCCAGGCCCAGAGTTCAGGCCTCACAACCGGACCCAAAAAAACAAAAACAAAAAACAAACATACAAAAAAAATTTATGACAAGAAGGGGAAAAAAAAACTACACAGAATTCTTAACACCGTTTTAATTCCACAATGGTTTTAGCCATTTCAACACTAACACTGGCCCGGCTGTCAGATAACGGAGACGGCATGAGCCGGTTCTCGATCTTTGTGTGTCTTACTTTGAATATGCCCGTTGATGATGGCTGATTGAAATGATGGCCTGAAAGGAGAGCGCTACGTCGTATTGAAGCAAAGCACCAGATAATTTGTGCACTTTTGTGCTTAGGTTTTATGATGCTGGCCAAAGCAACACTTTCACTGAAATGTCTACAGCGAATTCAGCCTTGATTCTCAAGCCTGTGGTAAAGGCAGTGGCACTAGAGAGCGTGATTCCAAGCCACTGCCACTCACCAAGCAGCAGCTCAGAGACCTGTACATGAACTGCCTTCAGCACGTGAGTTCAGTGGTCTGGATATACTGAAGGTTTGCTCTGGAAACCCTGCATAAAAGTAATAAAGATGCCCAACTTTTGTGTTGGTTTTGGACGACATAAGAAGTCACGTTATTGCCGAGATTCCTGCCTGGCTACGGCGGCTCATACCTGTAATTCTCGCTCTTCAGGAGGGAGAACCATGGTCCAGGATGGATAGGGCAAACAGGCTTTGAGACTCCGTTCAGCCAGTAGCTGGGTGAGCGCTAGTCAAAGCGAAGATGGGGAGGATTGCGGTTCCCGTCCTGTCTGAGCAACGAAGCTCAGGAAGACCCCAGTCAACAGAAAAAGACGGTCATGATGGCATGTGCCCACCACCCCAGAGACGGCGAGCGTGAGACCCTGCCTCAGAAATAGTCATAGTGCCCAGCGCCAGTGGCTCACACCTGTCATCCCCGCTACTCGGGAGGCTGAGATCTAAGGACCACGGTTCAAAGCCAGCCCAGGAGTGGCTCTGTGGCTCAAGTGGTAGAACGCTAGCCTTGATCTAAAGAGCTCAAGGACAGTGCCCAGGCCTAGAGTCAAGCCCCACAACTGACCAAGAAAAAAAAAAGTCATAGAAAGCCAGGCACTGGTGTCTCACACTGATCACCCTAGCTGGGGTGGAGATCTGCGGATGGCAGTTCAAAGCTAGCCCCGGCAGGAAAGTCCATGAGACTCTCATCTCCAGTTTACCACCAGAAAACCAGAAGTGGCGCTGTGGCTCAAGTAGTAGAGCACTGGCCTTGAGCTGAAGAGCTGAGGGACATCGCCCAGGCCCAGAGTTCAGGTCCCACGACTGACAACAACAACAAAAATGCATAACCACTGTTCCATGACGTTCTAGAAGTGACCCAACCCCCATCTTCTGTTCTAGGCCTAAGGATGTAGCTCAGTGTTGGGGCATTTCCCTGATGCATGGTCCTAGGTTTGACCCCTAGCACCTCAGAAAACAAAAAGCAAAGGAAAGAAAACAATGAAAGAGGAAAGGAGGGAAGGGTGGATAGAGAGCATGAAAGGAAGGAGGGGAGGGAGGAAAGAAAGAAAAAAGAGAGAGGAACAATTGTTTGCCTTTCACACAGCCAGCTGGTGTCTGGCTGCAGGTCGGCTCTTCTCGCGGCCCGTGGGGTCCTGGTGCCAGGACGACCCTTTGGGTTGGTGGTTTTCCTTCCCATGCAGTCATGGGGCGGCTCGGTTTTGTCAAGCTTGGCCAGCGACAGAACCCTGCGGTTTGGAGGCCTGTGCTGGCTCAGGCGTGGCCTGCGGGGTGGCCACTGTCTGGGATTGGAGGAGGAGCACACATCTCCCAGCTCGGTTCTGGGGGTCAGGAAGCCGCCTAGAAAGCGTTTCTTGGCGTCTCCTGTCCTCCCGTGCCGACGCCGGCTCGTCCGCCGCGTGGTGGACGCTTTGGCGCCACGTGAATGAGCTCTCCTTCCACCCGGCCTTCCTTGGTCCTTCAAGGCCGCGGGGGGCTCTGCGGTGGGGCTCCCCATCAGCCGCGTGCCTGGGACAGCGGGGGGTCTGGGGCGCGTTCTGGTCTTATTCACTGCAATGTCTTGGAGTCATTTTGTGGTCAACTTGTCCTTGGTATTTTTCATTACTGCTTTTCTTTTTAAATCACGTGCTTGCTCTTTTAGTATACTGTGTCCTTCCTGCCTGCCTTTTCCTGTGTGTATACACGTGTGTGTGTGTGTGTGTGTGTGTGTGTGTGTGTGTAAACAAATGCAAGCACTTCTGCCTGGGGCGGGTCCCTGGCCAGTGCGTGTGCTGTGGACCACACTCCGGGAATGGGGGCCGCAGAGAGGGGCGGCCAGCCGCGGTGCTCTCGTGATGGTGGGTGACTCTCCAGAGCTCCACGGAGTGGAGGAGAGGACCCCGCCACCGCCCAGCCACCAGGAGGGGACACGACTTCCTGCTGGTGGCTGTCTTCAGAGAGCCCCGAGGCTGCCGCAGGGTGGGGGCTGGGGGCAGTTCCCACTCCTGCAATGCACCTGTCCTGTGACCGTCCGGCCCCTTCAGCCCAGCCCTCCGCCCGCGCACGCGCACTGCAGTGCAGCAGCCTTACCATGCTTCTTACTCTTTCCTACAGGGCTTCACAAACTTCACCTGTCCAACACCTCTCGGGATTCGGAATCCACAAAGCCTTCCGCAAATGGGCATCAAAAAGTGCTTTGAGGCCACACGGGAGCCCAGCCTACCAGATCCGCCAAGAACTACTGCTGACCTTATTTTTTAAGTTTAACTTTTGGACAGACCTCACCCGAGATTCTCAGAAGCCGGGCCCCAGTGGCTCACGCCTGTAATCCTAGCTACTCAGGAGGAGGCTGAGATCTGAGGATTGCAGTTCAAAGCCAGCCCGGGCAGAAAAGTCTGTGAGACTCTTATCTTCCATGAACCACCAGAAAACTGGAAGTGGAGCTGTGGCTCAAGTGGTAGAGCGCTCGCCTTGAGCTGAAGAGCTGAGGGACAGCGCCCAGGCCCAGAGTTCAGGCCCCACGACCTACCCCCAGAAAGGATTCTTCTAGACTATGAAAAGCACACGCGCCGTGGGACGTTGGGAAGCGTGTCCGTGGACGCTCCTCAAAGCTCTGCTCCACAGGGGATGCATGCCGGGCAGCACCGCAGAAAGCAGTGTCCTCGTTCTCTAGAAACTGCACACGGGCCGTTCCTGCCGTGAAGCTGAACGAATAGAAAGTGTAGTTTTTACTTCCTTAGAGAAACAACAGCAGAGTTGCTGGTTTGTGGTTCAGAATATCCAGTGGACTTTGAGACCTGGGAAAAATCCTAATCCTGTGAACCTGAGCTTGGGGCAGGCGCGGCCTGGGGGCGGGGCGGAGCCGGGGTGGCAGAGGCCTGACCCAACTTACCCCTCCCACGCGGCTGCCCTGCGGTGCCCTGGCAGCGGAGACGGAGACGCTGCCCTTAGAGGCTGCAGGGACACTCGCTTTTCAGAAGCATTTATTTCAAAGATGACTGAACCCCGTGCTCTGTCACGCCCCACAAAGGGAAAGCGGGCGTGCTAGAAGCTCCGCCTTGGGCGTCGGCTGCTTCTCTGTCTGGCAGTTTTAAGCACCAGAGTTCCAGGTAGCACCAGCGGCTGGGAGGCCAGCATGCTCATGTTGGCGCGGGCTGCTGGTGTCGGTGGGCTGGGTAGTGGGTGGTTTCTCAGTCCTGAGGCTCCGGTTCCCGCACTGCCTCCGGGAGGCCGGGGAGGCCATGTGGACACAAGGCCCGCACCCAGCACCGGCCTGGCGTCTGGTGCGTCTTGGTGCGGGAGGCGTGGCAGTGCTAATCGGTAAAGCTCTTTATTTTGGGGGGGAGGGGAGGGACTTAGGAATAGCCCGTTACCTGTGTGACAGAAAAATTCTACTTAGAACAAAATAAGAAAAAAACCCGCTTCCGAGCCCCGAGCATCTCTCCTTATCGCGTTACACCTTTGCATCTCCCTCCGGGCTTCTCTTGAAAATGCAGCTCATTTTCAATAACATTCATGTTTGATTCTAAGCAACACCTGGCGCCCACCCCGGCAGATGTTGGGTTTCGTAGTCTGCGATCTCCCTAGAAGTCCCTACCCAGTGAACGTGCCGCCGTGGTGCTGCCCACCCGCGGTAGCCGCAGCGGCCCGCCACGCGGGGAGCCTGGCGCGGGGAGCCTGGCGCGGGGAGCCTGGCGCGGGGCGGCCGCCTCGAGCCCACACCACTGGCGGCATCGTCCCAAGAAACAGCCCCGAGTATTTGTACCTTGTCTGGAAATTTTTAGTAAAATATTAAACTTTTCAACATCCGTTTCAACTTGCCGTTCATGCGACCGTCCTTTCCACGCACGGACAAGGCCGGGCCGGGCCTCAGTGTGCTGGCACTCGCTGGGTGCCAGGGTCGGGCTGTGGGCTCCCGGGGCGGGGGGTGCAGGCTCGGCTGGACTGAGGGGGGCGCCGAGGACCCACGACTCGGCTCCCCTCAGCTCTGCCCTCACCCCGCCGCTCTGCAGTTGTTGATTGAGGGGACTCAGCCACTGCGGTCAGTGATTGGCTCTCCAACATTTAATTAGTTTACAGTAACAGGTTTTGTAGATTTATAACATTGATATTGATTTTGATGGATTTTCTAGGGTAGCACTTAGATTTACTATTTATGTATATTCCATATATAAAAATCTGCTCTCATAGGAGATGGTGGCGTTGTGCTTGCTGGCGCTGCCGGCCCGTGGACTCCGGGGGGCTGGGAGTGGCCAGATGGGCGTGAGCTGAGGTGTGCGCGTATCCGCTCGCAGGTGCACCTGCGCCCAGCCTGGCAGCAGCCACCTGAGCCTCCCCCTGCCGGGCACTGGCTGGAGTTCCCGCAGCCGCAGTAAGTAAGGGCAGGTGCCGGTGGGTGCCAGGCCGCCTCTCCTAGTTACCAGTGCTCGTCCCTTAACTGGTGGCTAGCACAGCATTTAAGACGGGCAGATTTACCACAGGATTTTAAAAAAGTATGATCATAAATGCAATGCTGACTTAAAACTGGTATATTACTTTTAAGAATGTTTAGACATGGATACATTTTGTTTACACATTGTCATGTTTACAAATTGTTAGTCTCGTTAGTACAAAATACTTTTAATCTGACTTAAATGTCTTAGAAATTAAAGTTTTGCAAAAAGTAATTTTATATTTCATTTACAATCACATCTTTATAAATGTGTATGTTCTTAAGTACCATCATAGCTAAAACCAAAGGGTATTTAAAGATTGTAATGGGCAGTAATTATTCTGTGAAGCACTGAATATTTCTCTTGATTTATTGGTGGGTAGGTTTCTTCACAATGTAAGCGCAGCATCAGTAATTGAAAGCATATATTTCATATTACTTCGTCAAGCTGTTTAGATTATTCTCACATCTCTCATTCCAGAAGAGCTGAGTATCTCCACCCAGAGTTCTGCAGAGTGAGTCTGTCAGCGTCTGGCTTGGTCACTGACAAGAGTGGCCAGTGGGCCACACTGTGGCTTCACACATTTGTCCACAGTCAGGAATGCAGTTGTTAGCAGTTCAGCTCACACACATACGAAAATACAGTTAAGCTAAAATTTCAACATGTAATATGCTGTTTTAAAATACTCCATTATTTTAAAGTACTAGACACAAATGACCAAGTTATTTACTGAGTTACAAATGGACACAAACTTCAGTTTGAGACTCATAACCTTGGAATCTTGTTTGTATAAAATCTTCCTTTTTTGGTTTTGAACATTGTTCAGGTAGAATTCATTGCTACAGGTACCATTGAAGGAAAAGCAGTGTATAGGTGTGTGTGTGTGTGTGCGCGTGCACGTGCACACATGTGTCTGTCTGTCTAAATGTTACTCTGCAAGAAGCGTCATCAAAATTGGTAGAAATCCAGCTTCTGAAGCTTCCGAGCCAGCCTTGCAGATGAACCCCATCACGGGCACAGGCCTTTCCTTTTTCTCTTTTTTCTCGACGCGCAGTCGTCTGCACGGGGTTTTTCTTAGCAAGCCCATTGATGCCTTCAGTGCTTCCGGCACGATCACCGCTGCCATCTCCTCTCCCAGTTCCAGTCAGCCGCAAGTTGCCTTGTTCCATGTCACACATGTTCAGAACAGTTCTGTCTTCCTGCCCTTCCTCTCTCCGTTTGTCTGTTCCCCTCCCACTAATGCATATATCCCAGAAATGTTTCAACTCAGTATTTTTTGTTTAAGTACATTTAATTGTTTAAAAATAATTCAGCATACACGCAGGCAGATATCATACTTTAGTCAGATTGATTATACACATACACACACACAGGATCCCGTATGTGCTTACGTGTATTTATAATTCATGTCTACAGTCACATAGGAAAGAAAACACACACCGTTGTCTCACTGAGCCAGCTTTCATTTAATAGGATGGTTTCAATTTTCCTGCAGAAAACATCCTTCTTCCTGGCCGAACAGTATTTCATTGTGTGCGTTGATGCACTCTTCAGTCGGAGGGCATCTGAGTGATTTCCGTAGCTTTGATTCTGCAGGGAGCATGAGCGAGCATGTGCCTCTCTTGTGCCCTGACCTGTATTCCCTCAGATAATGCCCATGAGTGCTGTTGCTGGAGGAACTTCCATTCTGGTTTCCACAGTGGTCACGCCATTAACGGTGGCAGCAGCCTGCCAGGTTCCTTGTCCCCTGTGTCCTTACCGACATGCGCTACTTGTGTTCTTGATGATGGCGGTTTGGAGGGGAATCCCATACTTGATTTGCGTTTCCTTTATGTCTATGGATGGTGAGCATTTCTTCATATATCTGTTGGCCATTTGTATTCTTTCTTTCACATTGTGTTTGTCCATTTTTGAATAGGGTTATTTTTGTTTAAGGGCTAGTTGTTCTGAACTCCTTGTATACTCTGGTAATGAGATTCACGTCAGACCATTAGCTGGCAAAGATCTCCCGTTCTTAGGCTGTCTCTTCAGCCTGCAACAGTTCCTTTCACCACAGCCTTTTAGCTTGGTACAATCCTATTTGTCAGTTCTTCCTCCCACCCCCCCTTCCACTCCCAATTGGGGCCTGGACACTGTTCCTGAGCTCTTTTGTTCAGGGCTAGCACTCTACCACTTTGAGCCACAGTGCCACTTCTGGTTTTCTGGTGGCTAATTGGAGATAAGAACTGCGATCCTCAGATCTCAGCCTCCTGGGTAGCTAGGACTACAGGTGTGAACCACTAGTGCCAGGCCCCATTTGTCAATTTGTGCTCCTATTTGCTGAACTACTGGAGTTACTGCCTATGACAGTAAGTTCTAGTGTTTTCCCTATGTATTCTTGTAGTTTCAGAGGTTCAGGTTTTTCTTACATTAAGATCCTTGACTCACATTAAGTTGGTATTACTACCGGGAAAGAGGAGGGGGTTGAGATTTAGTCTACTGCATGTGGATACGCAATATTTCCAGTACCATTTGTCAAAGAGGCTCTCTTCAACAAATTTTGGGATCCTTTGAAAAAATCAGATGGCTATAAGTATATAGATAGGTTTCTGGTAGTCTTGTCTGTTCATTGGTTTTCAGGTCTGTTTCTGTGCCTATATAGTGCTGGTTTTTCTAAAACTATAGTTCTGTTGTATAAATTAAAGGTCCAGTATTTTGATAGCTCCAGTGTTGCTTTATTGGCTCAGGACTGATTTGGCCATTTTGTGCTTCTATGTGAATTTAGAACCGACTTTTCTC